CCCCCCACCCTTTTTAAATTTCTTGATCTGCCACTATTATGTCAACGGATTTAAAAATTCTCTTTTGTGTTGGTAAATAGTTTAGCTCTTACCTTTGCAGCCTGATCTTTGTTCATGAACTCTGTCAACAGACCAATGGCATCTCCAATACAGTTGCCATAGATTGTTCCCAGAACATGGTCTTTCAGGCATCCTTCAAACTTCAAGTCTGTCAAGTAGGAGAAGTCTGAATGATGTTGTCCCATTTCAGATTTTGTTTGGTACAAAAACGTAAAATTATGATTCTGGAAGATGAAAAAGATTTGATATTTAAAAAAAAAAAAACAACCTGGATTTTGTAAGCATCAAGATAACAGACAAATGACATGTAAATAAATATAAGGTAAGAAGTGTAGTCGTCATCATGATTAAATTAAAATAATAAAAATGACAGAGAAATTCAGCATTTTAAAGACTTTCTCTAGCTTTAATCCACTGTGTGATGAAGGCTAGGGAAAAAATTGTTTGGTATAGTTTACAGTTATGTGCAGAGTGCCTTTGCCATTCGTATGGTTTTGAAAAATAAAACAATTTTAAAGACTTTTAAGAAGTTATGTGATCTACAGGTACTTATAACTCTAGGATATTTTGCAATCCACATTAACAAGAACCAAGAACCTCCCGAAAAAAAGAAAAAAGAAGGGGAAAAAAAAAAAGGTGAAAAAGTGAAGTGGTTTAAAACAACTCTTCATGCATGAGCTATCCGAGTTTCGGAAGTAGACATAAGTTAATTTGTATGGGAATTTATGAAGGCCTAATAAACAGAAAGGCCTAATTAACAGACTTAGGCCTACTCTTAGCCATCGAATAGCTATGCCAACCATGGCCTAACGTAGCCTGCCTGCAGGTGCAAGGCCAGACTCTACCCTCCATCTAAACAGCCCCAACTCAACTGATCAGAGATTCAAGAGAGGCCTAAAAACTAAACTAGCTTTAAACTTTTAAAAAAAGATATAAAGTTCCTACTACCAGTAGCCAGAGCTCTTTGATTTTGAGTGTGTTTCCTCGAATACAACCACATTCAGATATTAACTACACATCATCGACTAAAATAGACATTACATCTTGTAATTTGTAGTTATTATAAATGAACGACTGAATTGCACCAGAAGAAGGAAATTGTTTATGGCTAGGCTTCAAACCAGACAGTGTTTACATAATGATACTGTTCAGTAGCGTAAACTTCCAGTCTAATCTAATGTTTGTGGTATAATGTTGACAATAGGGGGCGAGTATGGAACGCCGTTACTGCCTTTGGTGGCTCTTTTCCGTTCGGCGCATTTGCTATTCGGCCCTTTTAACATTACGTTCGGTGCTTTTTACATTACGTTCGGTGCTTTTTACATTACGTTCAGTACTTTTATTAACATTACATTCGGTGCTTTGAAACATTACGTTCGGTGCTTTTATCATTACGTTCGGTGCTTTTGCCACACTTACGGATCTTTTATCATTTGGTGCTTTTTAGTTTTACCTTTCGGTCCTTTCATCATTACGTACGGTTCTTTTATCATTCGGTGCTTTCATGACCTTTGACTTCGGGTCAAGTGGAAAAAATCAACGGCTGTGGGATCGAGCCTAGTGGAACTTGCGTGCTCCTTCTCTCTTTCTTCTCTTTCATTTTTTTTCTTTTCTTCTTTCAACTTCTTAGTTTCATTAAAGCAAAATCAGTCACAAAGACATGGGCATGACTTACATATCCTACACTCAGCAAGGTGAAACACAGAATTCACAAACATACTCTCATATGTGGGAATGGTTGGCACAGCAGTTGTGCTCCGGTTTGTCAACCTCGAGGTTAGGGTTCAAACGTTCACTGTGCATTTTGTTTGTGTCCTTTGACAAGGCAATTTACCTATGCTTGTCTCTTTCCACCCAGGAGTGTAGTTGAGTACCTAGTTAAAATGTACTGGGGGAATTAAAAAGGTGGCATGGAAAGGAACTGGTCCCCGTACCATAAATGCTGAAGCTTAGTACAATGGCTCATAACAGCTCATTCTCCTATGTTCATTAATGAATATGGAACTAGATTTTGCCTTTTACTCTCATGAAAATTGTATTTCTGCATGTGTTAAATATTTTTCAGGCTTGTTTATTTGTTAACGTGAGTCCAGACAAGAAGAACATGAGCGAGTCAATGAGCACACTTCAGTTTGGAGCAAACGCTAAACAAGTTCAGCTCGGTAAAGCAACTCAAAATATCAAGGGCCATTAAGGAAATGTTATATAATCTAAAATCTAATACAATAACTTGACCACATGGGCTGCTGCCTGTCTCTTATACACATCTAGATGTGTATAAGAGACAGCGCATAGACTTACTATTGTCACAACAGTACTAGTATTAGTACGATTTATCTGTCTCAATACCATTTCAATTATGTCATAATTATTGTTACCATCATAAACATCATCCTTAGAATCATAATCATCATCATTATCATTATTACCATCACTATTCTAGTTATCTGTGAGTGTATCTATCTCTTAACAATGTTCGATATCATCTTAACATCTGAAAGATTAATCTTGTTTGCTTGTAACTACGAATTTTGATAGAATTTAAAAAATTAAAGCTATGCTAATATGTAAATATAGCTAGAGAAGAAATGAAATAAAATTAGGAAAAAATTGCATTATTACTAAATTATATTATAATAACAATAGATAATAATAACTTGTGCTAAATATTGTCTTCGTAAAAAATTTGTAAGAGTTCTATTAGAGGCTGGAATAATGAGGCAACCCACTAATAAATGATATTCAGTAATAATATTGACTTTATATTTTTTTATAAAAGTTATTTTGCTTTCACCTGGTGTTTTTTTTTTTCTGGGTGTTATTTTTCTCTTGTTTGTACTGTGTGGCTTCTGCTTTTTTAAGGTTTCTCTATATGTTTATATATTTGCATAGAGGTTTATATTTATATACTGTTATGTATTTTACACTGTTTCTTACCTGTAAGTGGCGATTCTTCGCTGTTGGAAAACTAAATAAAAATAAAACAATTTGGAGTTATGATATTTCTATTGATGACTGTACATATTAATTTATGCCAGGACCGTCCTACCACCAGACTTTCTTCTGATACATTTATGTTATCTGTTCCTCGATGTAAATCAAAATCCCATAAATCTAAAATTTTCAGCAAATTATGCCCATCTGGAATACCCTTTCTTTAGTAGGGGGTGGGGGATTTAGGGGGACTGTGCCTGGTCCCCATTTTGAAAATTTAAATTTAAAAAAAAAGAAAAAAAGAAATTATTGATCGCCCAAAATACAAGATACAAGATAACTTTATTGTCCGAATGAAAATTACATTTGGATGATACATCGCATGAAAAATGCATCAGGGCTTACTTCTGGGTGTATAGAAAACAAAAATGGCATTGTCGCATGATTGACCCCCTAGAGTAGTGTTGTCTCTCGGTCACCCCCTGCTTTCGGACGTCTCTGGATCGGCCCCTATTAGCTAATTGATTAGATTCTTCTTTTTAACTTTCAAAAAACAAAATGTTTGAATTTTATAATGTTAAATTGAAATTAAATTTTCTTCCTAAGAATACTTGCACATGGATATTGTTTTGTCACTGCATTGCTGTTGTTAAATGCTGAAATTTTTCTAATTAAATTTTTTTTTTTTCAAATTACACAAATCTTTAAATTTTATTTATTTTTGGTTGTAATTTTACTATTTTAAATGTCATTTTTAGGTGTGAATTTTTAAAATAATATATTTTTTATGTATCTATTGTAATCCATGTAAATATGTCAATTTAAATGAACAAATAATTCAATTCTTTTGAATTTTATTGTAAATAATTATTAATTTCAATAATTTTAATTGTAATATTAATTTCAGCTATAGTATAGGCCTATCAGAATTTTGATATAACTGTTCGATTGTTTTTAATCGTTTAAAAAAGTTATAATCTATTACTGAAGTTGCCTTTTGTTCATTTGATCCCAAATAGTCGCCTAATTTCTAAAACATATTTTTTTTATTGCTTCGTTTATTCATTTATTGGATATTGTACACTTTGTTATCTTTTTTATTTAGCCTATATTCTCAGTTTCACTCACTGTTTAAGAGAGAATCTCTTGGTATTAGCATGGAGGTATTATTGAGAAGGAGATCACTCGGCAACAGATCCCTTTGACGCGACAAACCTATGTGTTCCCCGCTTTTGGATCGCGCGCGGGCGTATTACCCTATAATTCACATTTTTTCGTTAGCAACAACTTGCCAACGACATGCACTTATACCATAGAGATCTGTCTCTTATACACATCTATGTCCCGAGATGTGCGTCCTTTTGTTGAATTACCTTGTTAAAACCATGGAGGTATTATTGAGAAGGAGATCACTCGGCAACAGATCCCTTTGACGCGACAAACCTATGTGTCTGTCTCTTATACACATCTAGATGTGTATAAGAGACAGACTCTATGGAGTGTCTGCTATAGTTCGAGCATTGTTTATAATTAATATCTGTTAAAATTAGAATGGGCGAATTTAGGCCAATTTATGAAAATTGAAGTTGAAATATACTATACTTTTATAATTCATGTAAATGTTCCATTAAATTCGAAACTTTTCTTGGTGGAAAATGTTAATATGTTTGATATTTTATGAGAGATGAATGTATCAGCTTCAAAATAAAAAAGATTGCGCAGCCATAGTGATTGACAGTATGTAGTGCGCATTGAGAAAAGAAGGTGCTCTCCATTTCGTCATGTTCAATTTTTTGGTCAACTATGCCTGTTGAAAATTTGATGGCGGGGAACATATGGGACTTCAAAGGCATCGCGCAAACGTTCTTTACGCGCTGCGGCAACTTTGATCTTGGTTCATTTGCATAGCGCTGCGTGCGCGTAGCTTTGCCGAGTGATCTCCTTCTCAATAATACCTCCATGGTATTAGCTTGGTATTAGGACTACTCTTTTCGCCCTCTGTTGCCAACATGTGCTCACAATCATTAGCCTCTAGCGCCAGGAAGTATGAAAACGGTGGGTGTTCAAAGGCTAGTTATAAACAAAATAAAAAACCAACAAAATAATAATTATTATTACAAAGGTAAGACAGGAGGCCCATGTTGACAGACAGACAAAAGACGACAAACAATACAGGCACACAAGTGGAAAAGTAAGTGAGCTAGGTTTCCAGCCTAGGCCTAGTTCTCTACTTAGATTAGAATTAGAAAAAAACTCGAGTACAGAAAGTAACTCTTTTAGTTTAGGCCTAGCTAGACGGGGCTTGCTTGGCCCCCTGCTTGGAGTATAGTAGTAGTAGTACTACTACTAAACTATGCTCAGAAGCTGACTGACAGACTTGTAGTCGACTTCTAGGTCAGCCTAGCTAGAAAGGAGCAACTCCTGCTAGTAGTAGAAGTAACAGTAAACAACAGTAGTACTTCCCGAGCCTTTCTGGCCTAGCCTGGCCTATCCTACTATTATTATGACTATATCCTATGACTGTTTTAAAAAGGCACTAAAGACTTGCCTCTTTATACGATATAACAACTTCAACTGGCATCTTTCAGCGCTTTGAAGCTATTTTTTGAATTAGGGGCTTTGTAACAGTATTATAATTATTATTATTATTATTATTATTATTGTTATTGTTATTGTTACCTACATTTTTTGCTTGACCATCATTGAGATTCAGAGATGATGTATGTTCGCAGTTCTACATAGTTGAAAGAGTCTATGATTTTCTCAAATCATACAGTTTAGGTCACATGAAACAAAATCTGAAATGGGCCAACAACACTCTTACTCAACAAACTTTAAGTCAGAATGCCTGAAAGACCATGTTCTGGGAACAATCTATGGCAACTGTATTGGAGATGCTATTGGTCTGTTGACAGAATTCATGAACAAAGAGCAGGCTGCAAAGGTAAGAGGCTTAATAAGCCAGGAACACACTGCACAGATGGTCAGTACTAGCTGACTCGATTCTGTGGACGAGTGGTGTGCTCAACGATCGTTTTGAATTACAATTTGCTTAGTCTTCCATCCACAATCAGCAGACGGAGTCGCATCCAGGGGTGGTGCTTTAGTGGTGGTCCATGGGGGGGGGGATTAGTGGCCCCGTCGGAGGGAGCTTCCCCCTCCCCGTTGGGGAGAAAAACCACAATTTGTCAGGGAGAGAAAAAAAATATGTATTTTCTACATAGTTATTAGTAGAATCATTTATAAAATCAATTAAATGCCTTTGAAACCCCCTAAATTGTCATATTTAATTTTCCCCTGGACCACTTTCAAAACATTTTGAGATATACGATTCACAGTGTGTGCCCAGTTTAAATGTCAGGAAAAACACTCAATCATATATTGGCTGAATCCCCTGTTTTCCTGGCAGTCTTGAATTATCTGACAATCAGAAGTTCATTAGCTTGAATCATAAGCTTCGCCATCTCCTATGACACAGTTAGATAATTGAAATTGTTAATTTGTAGAATGTATATTAAAGACTCAAATCCAAATTCTTATGTTTGCTTTTAATAGACATTGTGCTTGTTCTCTATTATTGACAGTTATTCCATTACGAAATTTTATTCTCATTAATAAAAAGAAAATTATTCATGCGACAAAAATTATGTTGAATCTTTATTTGATTTATTTAATATTTTTAAATTCTATTTAGGAATATCCAAATAAGCCACTGGAATACAGTTCGAAGACTTTAATTCCAAAGCAGTTTCGACATCAGCATCGCTTCCCCGTAGCTGATTGGACGGATGATAGTGACCAGATGATTCTAATTATGCAGTCATTAACAGACAACAAAGGAAAGGTAAATTTTACGTTAATTCAGTTATTTTATTTATTTATTATTTACATTATTACGAGAGTGCCGTTCTTTCAACGAGTAAATTGTCCTATTTTTTATGTTCTCATGGCAGACTGTGGCGACAGATTTTGCTGATAGAATGCTGACTTGGGCTAAAGAAGGCTTCAAAGAGCTTGGTGATTCTTGTGGAATGGGTATTGGTAGGACTACCGGCATGGTTCTGTACGATTTAAGTTTTACAACTGACCCTCATGAGGTATGTTTTCTTGCTTCTGGCCCACCTTTCTTAACCCTTCACCACAAAAAAAGGAAGGGTGAGTGCCTACCTAAAACCAGTACAAGTAAATTTTGTGAACATTACAATTAAAACATAAATCAGGATTTACTCTCTGTTGTAAAAACACTTTAAATTTCCGCTTAAGAAGGACAATTATCAACTTCAAGAAGGATGCATAATTTGAAAGAATTTAATTTTCACTTATTTAGAGACATTTTACTATGAAAAATTCTTAAATTGATTATCAGCAGCCTAATAACAGTGTTATTTATGAGTCTGGTAATTGGTGAGTAAAATATTTTCTTGTTCTAATTTTCAATTGATTGTAAACTTACTTTCATTACAAATTTATGCAAATCAAATATTGAGTTCAATTTCTTAGTTTAACAGATGCATTTGACCCACAGATTATAAACTGTTGATTTGTTTTCTTATTTCTGCCATTTCTGTAGTCTGCCAAGTATGTATGGGAATCGGGTAACAAGTCCATAGCTCCCAATGGAGCTGTGATGAGGACCTCAATTATCGGAATTTGCAACTTTGGAAACATGAAAACCGTCATCAGCAACACTATAAACATTTGTAAAGTTACACATGCCGACCCCAGGTAATGCAATTTAATTTAATGTTTCATAGGTCCAATGTAACTTAGACAACAGTGTTTACACTGATTGGGCTACCCTATTGAAATAAATTGGAATAGATATTCTTGTGACAGTTCATTATATAATAATAATGATGATGTTGATAATAACCTTATACAGGTCTAGATGGGTATAAGAGGCGGTGCTATTGGTCTGTTGACAGAATTCATGAACAAAGAGCAGGCTGCAAAGGTAAGAGGCTTAACAAGCCGGGAACACACTGCACAGATGGTCAGTACTAGCTGACTCAATTCTGTGGATGAGTGGTGTGCTCAACGATCGTTTTGAATTACAATTTGCTTAGTCTTCCATCCACAATCAGCAGACGGAGTCGCATCCAGGGGTGGTGCTTTAGTTAATGTACAAGTTTTCCTTAGATAACACAAAACACAAAATGTATTCAAAATATGAGCATTTTGACCCGTCCTCATGTCTCTTTCAGCAATGAAAATATATGTTGACTACTACAAAATTTTGATATCTTGCACATCCTATAGGCATCCGTAGTCTAATGGATATGACACGCGCCCTGACAGCGAGAGGTTGCAAGTTCAAATCCCACCAGAGTTACTTTTAATACAACTGAATTGAAAGGAACTTTTTGTTGAAGGGCTATGCTTGATATGATTATAACATCTTGTTCCTATTTGAGCACTGTTACTATTATGTATCCATTTGTTTATACTGTGTTCACAGTGCTACACAGCAAACCTAATTTAAATATTATTTACTATGATTTGCAAGCTGCAATCTAAAAGCTTTTCCAGCTTATCTATAGCTCCAGTATGTGTGAACGTTTCAGTCAATTGTATGAGAGAAAGTGCCTGGGGGTTAAATCTGCACATATGTCCTGTAGGTTTCTGTGATGGAATGGATATGACACATGCCCTAGCAGCGAGAGGTTGTAGGTTCGAATCCCGGCAAAGACACTTTTTTCATATGACTGAATTGAAAGGAACTTTTCATTTAAGGCATATACTTGATACGAATATAACATCTTATTAATAATTTGAGCACTGTTAGTATTATTGAACTATATAATATACCATATATACACATTCCGTTATTCTGTAACTTTACTTGCCAACAGATGTCAAGTTTCAACTGTTGCTGTGACAACTGCCATAGCAATGATGCTGCAGGGCAAATACTTCAAAGATGGGACATATGATGTCAGTAAATTGTCAGAAGATGCGTTTAATTATGCAAAGGAACATTTACCAAAATTGGAAGATGGAAATGAAGACCCAGATGCTGTATGCATTATATTTTAATAATTTTGATTAGTTTTTTAGTTTGTAGTTTAGTTTGGTTATTTTTTCTTTGAAGGATGATTTGTCCAGTCAATCTGTTAATTTGGGGCCTTTGATGCAGTGATGGCTTCAGAAATTTGCTGCTGCAAAGGGTCCAAGTCTGATGGGGTTCGAAATTAGAGGCCACCTAGGGTTCGGGTCTAGAAGGAAAATCCTGTGTGGAAGTCAGGGGAATAAAACTTTGCTGAAAAAATATGTTAGATTTTAAGATCCTAATATTCTGATATTGAAGTTCATTCATGTTAAGCCAAGAATATAAGGGTAAAGGCCTGTTTATACTTTCAACGATAACTATAACGATAAAAAGGTAAAAGGCAATGTTCATAAAGAAAATAACAGAAATAAGGGAAGTTTTTACACTACGACGATTCGATAACGATTTATCAGTTATGCGGTAACAAAATGTTTGCCAAATCAAATCAGATGACGTAGGTCATAATCATTGAAAAACATTAAAATCGTAGTTGTAGCAACGATTTTATCGTTTTTCAATGATTATGACGTCATCTGATTTGATTTGTCAAAATATTTTGTTATCGTATACACGATAAATCGTTATCGAATCATCCTAGTGTAAAACCTCTCCCATTTCTTTTATTTTCTATATGAATAATTGCTTTTTAGCTTTTTATCGTTATCGTTGCAAGTATAAACAGGCCTTTATACTACACATGAAATTAATGAAGTTATTTGATCATATATTATAAATAATTATTATTAATATTAGTATTAGACATTACAAGCTCAAGCACCAGCTCCATTCATTTGTATATTATTTTTACATATTCAATAATAATTTTTTTTTGTAGATTGCTGAATTGAGACGACACATGTTTGCTAATTCTCTAGATGAGCTAAATTTGGCTGAGGTTGGAAAGATTGGCTACACATACAAATGTCTTGGAGCAGGATTCTGGGCATTTAGACAAGACAATTTCAGGGATGCAATTGAAGCCATTACTATGGAGGTAAGATTTAAGAACAATTCTTTTTTTTTTTAAATACAAAATATAATATGTAGTTGCTGAGGTATAAACCCATGCAGATTATAATCTGCATCCTGTTATAATAAGCCCTTTTTTTCTCTTATTAATAATTTTATATTATGCACAATATAAATTCGCTTTATAAAGTACAAGCATGTATACTCAGCCCAGTTATGATTGGCAAGGTTCATTAATTTGATTGACACTTCGAAAATGTCCATTGACTTTGATGCTTTTTGTTTTGTAGGCTGGAGATGCTGATACAAATGGTGCTGTAGCTGGTGCTCTGTTAGGTTGCAAACTGGGAGCAGCGGCCCTACCTGCCTCTTGGCGTGATCAACTGAAACACAAGACATGGCTGGATAAACAGATTAGGAACTTTGTAACTGCTTGTAAAATTCCAATCAAGATGGAATAATGTATATCAAGAGCATGTTGTATTCGTTATTAATTATTATTATACTACTGTATATTTCATTATTATATTTATTACTGTACATTATTTGTCTGAACCTTAAATATAGAATTTTGTAACTTATTAAAGAATTGTAATACAGTATTTTGTATAAAGGATTTGTATGTCGTGTGCAATATTGTTATTTATTAGTACAGTATTGCCTTTTTATGCTGTGATCATTCTTATTCTTAATCTTTATTGCCAAATCGAGAACATAAACAGTAAGCCTTATGATGTTCATTGTTTTTACAGTTTCAAGAAAATCTTGTGTCTTTTATTGTTTGTAGATAGTTAAAGAGTCGAACACTATGGAGAAACAACTTCATTAACTACTGTATCATCTGTAGAATATTTTAACTTCCAAGAAAGAGGAAATCCTAGACGGTATTCATATTTATGCAGCATAGTGCTAAGACGTTGTTATTGTAGATCAGTTTTAAGTTCTTCCACCAGAGGTATAGAGAAACAATTCCATTACTAACATGTTATTCATTCATTAATATTGTAATTATGTATTACATGCATGTAAATGTGTTAAGCCCTTTATAATAATTGTAAATAACAATAATGAAAATAACGATGACAGTGACAAGTAAAACGATAAACAACAATAATTATGTTGTGGGTCTGTATTCATCAAAGGAGATGCTCATGAACATTATTAAAAAATTGACGATGAACTAAGCATAATAAATACAGTTTGCCCTCCAATTCGAGACCAATTTGGGACCTGAAAATGTGGGGTGGTCTCGGGGTTGGTCTCCAATTAGAGGGCTAGCTTTGTGTTAAAAAGTTGAAAATGTTGTTATTTGGGTCTTTGGAAAGTGGTCTCGAATTGGAGGGGGCTGGGAATTATAGGGGTCTCGAATTGGATTTTGCATTGTAAATGAAATGAAACATGTGCAGCTACATGTTAATTTCTGGACCTTAAGCTCTACTTTAGGTAAATCAAAAGCCAATAAACTGATACAGTATTTTCAAGCTATTAAAGTTTCTCAAGGAATTTGCCAATACTGTAATTATGAAAATAGAAATGTGTAGCTTGGTGGTTATAATGTTTGTTTTCCATCTCAGGGTTCTGGTTTGCAGTCCTGCTAAAAAACAGGATTTAGGCCTATTTTATCGCAAAAACAGCTCCACTAAGCCTCATATTGAGACTTGCTTTATAGAGCATACAATGGGGCAAGTGAGAGGAAAGCTCCAATTTTGTTTGGGGCAAGGTCCGCGACAAGAGCAAAGTGGGCGTGGTCGGGTGTCGATTAAAATGTTGCGACAATTTAAGGGGTTTAGAGGCTTATCGATTTTACATATAGATAGTCTACTACTAGTATGTAGCAAATACATATAATTTTTTTTTCTCCCCGACGAATTGTGATTTTTATTCTCTTCTGGGCGGGGGCGAAGAAATTTTTCTGGGGGTAAATCCCCCCCCCCCTCCGTAGCGCCGCGCGCCACTGAAAGCATACTCTCAGGGTCGGACAACAATTAGCTTGCTACTACTGTCGGTATGATTGTAAATATGCAAGTAGGTAATATGCTTTATTTTTCAGTTATTAATAATGAAACACGAATATTTCTCTTTATACAAATGCTGAAAATTACTCATCCACCGATATTTTGTATTCCTTATTAATAGCCTTGTGTTATTACTTATAAAACAATGTATTTTGTATTTCGTAAATAATTTAGCTAGGTCTATTTTTGTAAGTATTATGTATTGTCGAGACTGGGTAAAATGCGATTTTTTATACTTAAAAGCTTGTCTTGTCTAACATTTCTTCATCAACAGCAACACATAAGTTAGCAAAGTGGCAAATTTTCAGATTTACGACATTTTTTCATCTATAATCAAGGAGCAGTCATATGCCTACTAATGTTAGCATTTTGTTAGTTACTTTCAATAACGTATCATTTAGTGACAGTATAATATTTCTTACAAAGTGCGGGCATCAATCTATATACAAGGAAAAATTTGAGTCATTTTTGCTGAGAATGCTCTGACGACGTACAGTTACGCAGTGTTAAATTAGATCAGAGGTTACGAATGTACATTTTACCAGGGAAGTCATGAAAACCCTCAAAATAATGAAAATCTATAGAAATGGCAAATACTGTCATAAAAAATGGATAACCTGTAAAAATACAGGCGGTCCCTTTTTGACATAAACAGGGATAAAATAAACTATAGGCCTATTACAAAGAAATTTCGAGGTGCCCTGATTTTGTTTATACAGTACAGTACTGCATTATGTAATGTATTTTAGTAAATACACTCTACAATCATTCTAAGTGCCATATAATGTGGACATACATGAACCAAAAGTTACCCCATATTGAAAAAGAATTCTGTTATTTGTAAATAAACTGAATTATAAATCGAAATTGGTAGCTATATGAGTATCTGATGTTCTTTCATTGTTTGTCTTTCTAATTAATAGGTCAGGAACCAGAAGGTGGTGGCCTCAGCTGAGCTTCCCGTCAGGGAAAGGAAATAAATTCCTCTGGGAGTTATGTGATTTTTGCAGATTATACTGTAATTGAAAATCGATTATAAGCGTTTCAAGTACCGTACGTCCCTAAATCATGGGCCGATAGTGGCGGACCCTTGCCCCGACACTCAAGATTTTGTCTCGGAACAGGCCCTCTTCTGCAGTGGCGCCGTGAGGCCCGAGTAACCGGGGCAAGTGCCCCGGGGTCCGGGTCCAACAGGGGCCCGCGATAACTAGGTAAAAAATAATAAATAAATACAAATGATTTTGATTTTGTGAACGTTTCTGTTCCCTCAGTGTTACTATACTCAGTATGTTATTTTATATAATTCCGACTTTTCTATCGTCGTTGTTGAAAATCTGGAACCCGATGTTGCAACACAATTTATTCAACACGGACATTCAGTTGTCTATCGATATTGTGATTAACTTCATACGGAAGCCCGTTAGTGCCACCAGTGAATTAAAATTTCAGAGCCGTTAAGTGACGGCCGCCGTAACTTCCATCCAGAAATCGGTAAAACATATTCTCTGATTTAGACATTTTCTTATTAGCCGAGAAAGGGTCTATGTTTTGACATAGGAACATCGGGTTCCAGATTTTCAACAACGACGATTGAAAAGTCGGAAATATATAAAAAATATATCCACTGCGGGACCCACTGTCTGTCCATTTTTTCTTTCTCTATGGTCTGTCAACTGTCATGGATATATTTTCTCATACCGGTTTTCAATTGTTAATAACTTACTCAGATATACAAATGAAGAAACTGAAATATGGTATTCAATATTTTATTGTGACAACAGTGTACAAAGCATTAACTCATTAGTACAGTCAGTACGGTTCACTGTTCCCTGGTACAATAAACATAGACAGAGCCATATATATAAAGAGTTGCGACATTCCGCTCCTTGGTTTACGAAAGTCACGTGGAACACAACCGTCCATTTTGTTTCATAATCTTCCCGATGAACACATGCAAAGTATATGTGTTACGTACATTGCATAATAATTTCACACACTTAATTGGGTCTACAATTATATTTTATAATTAACATCACTTAGTATGGACAGTGTATTAGAATTCATATATAATCGAATATTTGCGCGCTTGCGTGCTCGCGTAAATTCCATGCTCGCGTAAATTATTGGAATGAATTAGAATTTTTTTTCAATTATCGTTAATTCGTCACATTTTTAATCAAGGTAATTCAACAGAAGGACACACATCTCCGCTCTCGAACATAGCGCGTGCGTACAGTCCTTTGATCTTTACTGTGGCATCGACAATCCGTTCAGGGAGCCTTCATGATTGCGTCCGGGATCGCTATGTAGTACACACCGAAAACACTGTAGCGACAGTGTAGCGATTTTAAGGAAACCAGGTTGAGCTCACAATCAGCGGTGGTGGCAGAAATTTGCTGACGGAGGGGTCCGGACCAAGGCGACTACGAAGCCTTAGTCGACTGCCCGGAATAAAAAAAATAACTGTTAGGGTCCATGGGGAGAGTTTAATGGCTTGATTTGGTGCTTTTAGACCACAATTAGCTATCAAAAAAGCGTTATTTGGATAGGCAAATTATTGTTTTGATTAATTTTCAGTCCGACGACCTAGTCGTTTATCGGACGACGGGGGGTCCAGGCCTGTCCGGGGGGGGGGGG